AGAAAAAAACTGTCAGTAATATATATAAATAGCGGCTAGTTAAAACGTATTATCAAGCCAAAGTTAAAAGTTGAGAGGACTAAAAATTACTTTTAAAAAATTATTTTTTGTATATTTTATTGGAGTTCGATTTGCCAACATATAGTAACAAAAATAAAACCGTGTCAGGAAATATTAGTCATTTTTGAATATATGCAAGAACAAAAAAACCCTAGCTGAAAGGCATAGTTTTCTTTTTTTTTTAAGAAAGGTAAAGCACGTATCTGAAAATTGAGCCTGTAATACAATTGCTTTTTCCAACAGAATTATAGCATAATTACTGAAGGGCCTATATATTTTATACTGTTCTGTTAGGACTTTCTAATATTCTTTATCCTTGAGAAGATTTTACTACAATGAACTCAGAACAGGGGTCACAGTTCACATATTTGACAAAAAAGTACAAAAGTAATAATATTAAATGGAAAATGCAACTACATTTCACAGAATAATGTAGTACCACCCTAAACAATTACTTTGGTTATGCTAATTCATCACCTAAGCCATCCAAGATTTGATTAGATAAATAATTCAGTAATGTACACTACAAAACTACCTACTCCCATGAAAAGGTGTTTATTTTTAGTTACAGGTTCATAGAATCTTTTGGATCTTTATATTCCCTAGCCTTTTTAGTAGAAGCAAAGTGAATAACATATCTATCCTGTCTAAAAATATGTAGTTGATTATATATATCAAGTAAAACGTACTTCAAAGAGCTTTTTGCCATCCACCAAAAAGAGGAAATGTCATTATAAGGAATTAGTTATATTTAAGTAAAAGCTTTCAGGAAAAATTTAAAATACTAATGATGAAAAAATTAAATACCTGTATTTCAACACTCAGTTTCTTTTCTAAAATGTCAATCTCTGTTTGTTGTCCTATATATGTAAATTGGACTGGTTCAATTTGGACTATTTATGGTGGGAATTTTAAACTTAAGCTTGGGTAAAAAAAAGGCTGTATCAATATTTGTCATGCCAGAAAATTTATGACTCAAACTTGTGGAGATTATTAAACTTCGGGCTGACAAAAAATAGTTTTTGAATTATTTTGCTTCTGTTGGAAAAATAGTCTTCAAATTATTTTTAAAATATGGTGATAGTGATATGTGTATAAATTTACAATTTGCATATCTGAATTTTATACATTGTAATTTTGTAGGTAAATAAATTCGATTGCAATCTCTCAACAAATAAGTTGAGTTAGACATTAGTAGCTTCCTAAGTTTTAACTTCTATCTTCAAATTTTACTTAATCTTATATCAAGCTTGCTGTTTTTATGTATGTGTTTTTATATATGATGGAGACACAAGGGCAGTCCGGGTGGCTCAGCGGTTTAGCGCCACCTTCAGTGTGATCCTGGAGACCCAGGATCCAGTCCCACGTGGGGCTCCCTACATGGAGCCTGCTTCTTCCTCTGCCTGTGTCTCTGCCTCTCTCTCTCTCCATGTCTCTCATGAATAAATAAACAAAATCTTTAAAAAAATAAATAAATATATTTTTTTCTATCTCATTATTTGGAGTCAGAAGTAGGACTCCAGAAATGGGTATTATCAGCAGCAAATGATCAAAGGGCTCAGAGTATTCCCATTCCCCCTTTGTTATCTTCATTATGCTAGTTTTGCCCTCAAACTGGTTACAGAGATTCCAAGGGTTATATATAACAAGCATTATATGGTCTCATTCATTTGGGGAATATAAAAAATAGTGAAAGGGAATAAAGGGGAAAGGAGAAAAATAAGTGGGAAATATCAGAAAGGGAGACAGAACATGAAAGACTCCTAACTCTGGGAAATGAACTAGGGGTGGTGGAAGGGGAGGTGGGTGGGGGGTGGGGGTGGCTGGTGACGGGCACTGAGGTGGGCGCTGACGGGATGAGCACTGAGTGTTATTCTATACGTTGGCAAATTGAACACAAATAAAAAATAAATCTATTTAAAAAATGAAAGTAAAATAAATAAATAAATAAATGACACAGCATCCTAAAAAATAAAAGGAAACATCATTTCTTGTTTCTTAAGAGGAAAGACAACTTTTTCAGAGCACTGCAAAAGATATATTACTATATTTAATTGGCCAGGATTAGATCATATGCCAAATGCTAAATCAATCACTTGCAGGAGGACTATTACCATGATTAGCTTAGAGTAACTTTGGGATCATTAGGATAACAATCTCCCTTTTTTGCTTTTCTTGACTCTGATCTCTGTGCTGCTTACATGATTAATAGAGCAACTTGATCTTCATATCCTCTCAGGTTCACTTATGCCCAATGGAAAAGATCATCTACCTCATATCCAGAAGACTGCAAAATACCATTGTGCCTCATTGTCTCTGACTAGGTTATGTGCCTACTCCTAAAACAATCACTCTAATGGTATTTCAGTGCTCTGGAAGGTTACACTTAAGTTGTTCCAAAGAGGAAAATGAAGGCACTATTACCAGAAGAACTGTGATTGGATGCTAGGCTGCAATTCCAAATGATGTTGCAATTCAACACATTTTGCTGCTCAGAATTTATACGAACCTTTCTTGTCATATATGCTCATTCAAAAATGTCTCCACAAAAGTGTTCTTTCATCAATTACTGATGGAATGGGAATTGTTATCAGGTTTGGAAAATACCTTTGCAAGAGTAACTGCTATTTTAACTTCTAAGGCAATAGATTAGTTTGACTGTTTTTGAAGTTTAAATAAATTGTAAAGAAAACTGTGTGCCCTTTTGTTGTCTTCATTTCAACATACTTGTAAGATTTATTCATGTTGTTAAATGTGGTTGTAGTCTCATTGTATGAATATACCAAAACATATACAGTCTACTGCTGATGGACATTTGGGTGATTTCCAGTTTAGAGCTATTATACATGGTTGAACACATATATTTTATAATAAATTATTGGTCTTTGGATTTTAGTGATAAGAACCAGTAAGTCAAGAAACATTCATTGAAGAAACAGAAACTGGATGAAATGGCAAAAACTAAATCTGCCAAGGCAACTGAAAACTAAGAATAGAGAAAATAATTACCCACCTAAGATATAGGGGAAAAGAGGTTCAAGAGAGAAACAGTGAGTTTGGTGAATGTTTTTCTCTTGGGGAAATTAATCCATTCTAGAAAGAACTGCTAAAAGGCTTAGAGCTCAGAAGACGTTATGACTATGTTGAAGCTAAAGATACAGAAATTGGAGCCCAGAGCCCTGGTAAGCCCCTTTCACTTTTGGTTGGGATGCCAGGCATAATATCCCAGGAGTAAGGGTTAATCAGAACTAAATAAACCCTTACATAAAGGAAAGTGTATCTGCAAATAGTTGTCCAAAAACATTGTATGAACTTTCATTTTCATCAGCACTACATGTGAAACTCTTTTCTCATGCTCAATGACATTAATATTTTAATGCTTTCTCATTGATTGTTGAGTCAAGATTTTTATTGATCCTATTCTCCCTTTTAGGAATTATTTTATTGTTTTAAGCTTATTCTGTTAACATGCAGCCCATCAAATGATTCAGTAACTATTCACTTGATTCAGTACCTATTAAATATTCATATTGTTCACCTCTCTCTGGTTTGTGCATTTGCTTTTTCTTGGGTTTTATTATTCTTCATTTTAAATTTTAACAAATAAATTTTGATATGGGAGTAAATTTAGTGTAAGTTTTCCCCAGATATTTAAAGAATTATTTCACATCTCTTAAAGAATATCCAATCTTTCTCCACTGAATTGTAAAACCATTACTTTCCTCATTTTTTGTAAAGTTATTTTTTTCCAAAGGTGTCCTTTTGGATAAATAGATCATATTACCAGTTATGGTGGAAACATTGTACTAGATGTAGAGTAATGAGAGAAAAGTTAACTGCGGTCACTGTAAAATTGAGTTTTATAGAATGATGACCAGACATATAATAGGTGCTCAATAAATATTTCTCGAATAAATGAGAGAAATAATGGTTTCAAAAATATCTAATGTCCTGAGAGAATCCTTACTCCATATAGAAAAGAACAGGACAGGCAGCCCAAGTGGCTCAGTGGTTTAGTGCCACCTTCAGCCCAGGGTGTGATCCTGGAGACCAGGGATCAAATCCCCATTGTTGGGCTCCCTGCATGGAGCCTGCTTCTCCTTCTGCCTGTGTCTCTGCCTCTCTCTCTCTCTCTGTCTCTCATGAATAAATAAATTTTTAAAAAATCAAAAAAAAGAATAGGACATGAAATTGCTTGTGGAAAATTATCCCAGTTTTGTAAAAGCCTAGAAAAATGACAAAAAGAAATAATGAGTATTAATATTTTTGCTGTGAGGCCTGGCAATGGGAGCTGGAATGAATTGCATTTGATTATTTTTTTCACATCAAATTGCTGAAATTTAGTGTTAACATCGTGAAAAAAATTCATTTGCAATATGGTAAAAGAAGAAAGAAAAAAGAAAAAAGGAAGAGAAAGAAAGAATGAATGAAAAGAAAAAGAAAATTCTCTAAGAAGTAAAATCCAGGAATAAGCAGTCAGAAAAAAAATTACAGAGACTAGGTAAAGATGGCAGACTGAGAACTAACATATTTCTCTGTTCCCACGACATCCTTGTGAATTATTTAAAAAGCAGATCTATGTATAAAGAATAAGTACATAGGGGTCCTGGGAAGAAGAAAACACTAATTCCTGGAAGAAGAAAACAAATGGGGCAAGGGGCACTGAGAGGGTGGAGTTGGAGGTGAGCACAGGAACTAAAAGGACCAGAAACAGGGAGGGGAGAGAAGGGGTAATCAGGAAAGGGCGGGTAGCTAAGGGCTCCGAGACTCCTTTATGAAACCGCCCGAAACCTGAGAACAAGTGCAACTCCCTGGCCAAAGGTAGTGGGCTTAAGAGTTGGGGGAGGGAAGTAACAAGCAGTCTGGCAGGAAGGGGAGGCCTCACTCCTGGCAGGAAGCTGCGCTACGGAAAGAGGGAGGAGACTGCGGCGACGGCGGCGGCTGGTGGGAGCCCGATGTGGCAGAGGGGCCGCCGCCGACAGGGAGGCGGGGGGCCCGCGAAGCTCAGAGCTCGGGATACCGCCGCCATCCTCCTCGCTTACCCCGCCACTCTCCTAGACGCGCTCCCCGCCTACGGATCCTTCCCTCCCAGCCTGTGCAAACACCCGGCTCGTCTCCCGCTGATCCTCCTTCGACACAGGCTCACCGCGGAGGCAGCAGCTAGGTGTCCGATTCGGGCACGTGAGGCCCGGGATCCGGGGCGGTGGACACCAGGCAGGGCAAGGCCATTGGTGGGCTCCAGGATGGAGAAGGGGGATGGGATGGGCTCCTGCGGGAGATAAGGGATGGGGGCAAGCGCCGGCTGAGGCTGGAGTGGGGGAGTGCGATGGGAAATAGGAAAGGAGGGTGGCATTAGGAGCCAGGCAAGAAATTGAAGGTGAGCCTGGGGAAGCGAGGGCGCTGGATGCCAGGAAAGCGATCGTGGGTAGACAAGGGGCGTGTGGGCAGCAGGCTGGGGCGCCCAGGACAGGACGACAGTGAGCGCGTGCGGGTCAAAGGCGGTGAAGGGATAGGCGCTTTGCAGGGGATTGAGAGTGGGCGCCAGTGGCGGGTGATGGAGGCAGTGGGCTCTGAACAAGGAGGTAGCCTGCTGCCTCCTGCAGAGTTCCTAACCCCAGCCAGCACCACTGCCGCTGCCGCCCTTCCCCACAGCCTAAAGGAACCTAGGAGGGAGAGCACTTGGCAGGCACGCAGCCAGGATTTCCAGCACTGCTGCCAGGTCCATGGGGAAAATTTAGGTTCTGGCGCTGGGTACACAGACACGTCGCAGTTGGGAGAACTTCACCTTATATCATATTGAATGTTTCTCTCTTGTCTTCTCTCCTCCCCCTGCAGGCATGAAGACCCCCAACGCACCAGAGGCCGAAGGGCAGCAAACCAGGGCAGCTGTGGGCCGGGCCACTGGGTCGGCAAACATGACGAAGAAAAAAGCCTCCCAAAAGAAACAGAGGGGCAGACCTTCCTCCCAGTCCCGCAGGAACATCGTGGGCTGCAGAATTTCACATGGATGGAAGGAAGGTGACGAGCCCATCACCCAGTGGAAAGGAACCGTTCTGGATCAGGTGCCTATAAATCCCTCTCTTTATCTGGTGAAATATGATGGAATTGACTGTGTCTATGGACTGGAACTTCACAGAGATGAAAGAGTTTTGTCTCTTAAAATTCTTTCCGACAGGGTGGCATCATCTCAAGTCAGTGATGCAAACCTTGCAAACACCATAATTGGTAAAGCTGTGGAACATATGTTTGAGGGTGAGCACGGTTCTAAGGATGAATGGAGGGGAATGGTCTTAGCCCAAGCACCTATCATGAAAGCCTGGTTTTATATTACCTATGAGAAAGATCCTGTCTTGTACATGTACCAGCTTCTAGATGATTACAAAGAAGGAGACCTCCGTATCATGCCAGAGTCCAGTGAGTCTCCTCCAGCAGAGAGGGAGCCAGGAGGAGTTGTAGATGGCCTCATAGGTAAACATGTGGAATATACCAAAGAAGATGGCTCCAAACGGATTGGCATGGTCATTCACCAAGTGGAAGCCAAACCCTCTGTGTATTTCATCAAGTTTGATGATGATTTCCATATCTATGTCTATGATTTGGTGAAAAAGTCCTAACTGTCAGGGTAAACCTTGCCACATTTGTGAAAACAAATGTATACTTTGTGGACATGCAAAATAATGTTGCTTTTCAGTGTATTGAAAGCTTAAGGGTCCCTGTTAATTCAACATCTTTGCCAGCATAACTGTTGTTTTGTTCCAAAAAATACAAATTTATGTGGATATGACATGCTGCGTGTAAGGACTTTGTCATGTTGAAAAGATTGGGTGTGTTTGGTGGATGGGGCATGAAAGGAAGGGACAGCTGTAAATGCAGGCTGTGAATAAAGTTCAGCTAGTATCATAATCAGTCATCTAAAAATGGAATAGGACTTAGCCGGTCTGTCTAGAGAGGGGGGAGGAGAAGGAACTAGAGATGGGCCATGGGGAGAGGGAGTAGGGAAGGTGACTCCTTAAGGAAGAGGTGGGGCAGGGCCCAAAATGGAGAGGCTCTTCTGAGGGAGGGATGACCTAAGAGAGAGGCACCCAACTGAGAAGGGGTGGAGAATAACAGAGGGAGAATGAGATCTTGGGCTTAGAGGGCCTAGAGGAAAGCAGGCAGAATACCTTGAGTGGAGAGGGACACAAAGAGAGAGGGCAAAGGATACTCAAAGGGAGGGTCTATGCGTGAGTAAGGAGACAGAAAGGGAGGAACACTGAGGAAGAAAGAATTCCAAGGAGAAAGACTGACAGAGGAAGTGAGAACACAGAAAAGGAGGTGTGGGGAGTGGGACCCGTGAGAAATGGGAAGGCCCAGGAAAAAGTTGGACTTCTGGCAGTATCCATATTTTCCTCCCTGGCTCTGTGCAGAAAGGATGTGACAGCTGTCAGAGAACCAAATGGAGCGAAAGTTCCCTAGAATGGCATTTTGACAGGGATGACTCAAGAGTTAGGCAGGGCCAACCGTATACCTAAAAGGCTTTTCTTACTTCAGGGAGCTCATGCCGCACCTGCTGAGTAGAGCCCCAAGCTCAGCCTAGACACTCTGACCTGACCCCCCGTGAGCAGGGGGCTGTGAGTAGCCTCCTCACTTTTCCCAGAGGACCCAGGTACAGTAAATCTTGGACCTGAAGGTCTTGGTTCATTTACCTTACACTGGATAAATAGTTCTTATGGAGACTGGGTCATGGGGCTGCTCAGGACTTAAGAGATGTGCCATCTTGCATTTGGAAAGTATTTTATCCAAAAAAAATGGGACCTTGCTGAACAAAGGTACAGGAGTCCCCTCGCTGTTCTTTCTCCTACTGGACTGTGCTTTGCCTCACTATAGAGGAGGGGCATCAGAGGATTGAGCCTAACGTTTCTCTCCAGGACATGGGGAGTTCTAGGCAGTCCGTGCTTCTTTCAGCAGCTGCCTGAAACCACAGGTGGCTCCACCCAGTGCTTCGCTGGATGGAGGTCTGCTGCCTCCAGAAGCCCCATTCACGCTATCCCCCCAACAAATCTGGCAGCTACCAACCCTTCACAGGTACACCCTGGCCAGTCCAGCACACAGAGAAGCTGTGATGGAAGTTTGTGCAACTCTGTTTCCAGGTGAGATGGATGGCATGGGGCAGTCGGCTAACTCCTTCAACTGTATGATGCCACCTAGAGGGACAGTCATTGGTGGGGAGAGGGTGCAATAACCCCAATAAAGTCCCTCAAAGATACGGTGCCCCAACACATGGGCCTAAGTCCTCTTTTTCTCCTCCTTGCCCTTCCCCAGTCCTGCTGTGGAAGGTCCCTTCAAGACCCTCTCTGGTCTCCCCACTTCACACTTCACTAAAATATACCCCCACCCTCAAAGGAAGAGTTAAGGTGACCCCACTGCCCAGGCTTCCCTAACTCCATACACAGTGGGGTGAGGAGGGTAGCTGTTGGCAGGGAGCTTTCAGAAGTCCCAAAAAAAGGTGGTAATTCCAGTTCATTCTCTTCGCACAACATGGCCTGAAACTGTTTGCCTGAAGTATTACACAAGGCAAACCCACCTTGCAGGAATTCATTTTCTTTCTTTCATATACCAGAAAATTTAGTCTAGCAAAAACACCTGCAGGCCACCCATGGGCCGATTTCAGCCAGCTGCCATGTTTTGTTTGATCCCGGTGTTTTTATTGTTTTCTATTTTAAAATCAGCTACTTGGACACTTGGGAGATTTCACATTACAAAAATCCATATTTCTGGCCCACCTTAAACCAAACCAAATCAAACCAAACCAAACCAAACCAAACCAAACCAAACTGAGGATTAGGGCCCACATTCCAACAAGGATACAAGCAGCTGGGTCTGAGGAAGAGCTCAGCCCATTTTAGACTGAATGCTCTCTCAAACTAGCCATGTCCCCAGCTGGCCTGATTCACTCTAATACAATTCCCAGTTGTCCCCTGAAGGCATTTGCATTTGTAGCTTGGGGCTAGACCCAGGGGAAACTGCCTAGCTCTACTTTTGGCTTAAGCTGACCCCATTTGCTTTTTAACTCATTTGCTTTATCTTTATCCCACAAATACTTACTTTAGGTGGGCTCTCTGCCAGGCAATCTTCAGGCACGGGTACTGGTGATAAGGTAATGAACCAAATAAACAGATAAAACAATGGTAGAGCTTTAATTTTAGTGTGGGAGACAGACAGTAGCCAAGACACAGTAGGTGAAATGTAAAGTATTCTCAAAGGGATAAGTGTTAAGAAAGGAAAAATAAAGCAAAGGATGTGGGATTGGAATTCTAGGTGGGAGGCTGAAATTGGATAGATAGAGTCCAGGGAAGGCCTCACTGAGACCATGGCTTTTGAGTAGTAAAGACCTGAAGGCAGAGAGAAGATGGGCCCTGTGGCTCTCCAGGGAAGGAGCATGCCAGGTAGAGGGACAGCAAGGCAGGAGTAAGCCTGACATGCTCAAGGAACACTGAGGATACCAGCATGGCTAGAGCCAAGTGAGCAAGGAATAGGCTATCAGGAAGTGAGTTCAGAGAGGTGATGGGGATCTGGCAGAAGCTGAGAGGTAGCTTAGAGCCTTGCAAGTCTTAGAATGGAATTTGGTTTTTATGCTGAGTGTGATGGGGAGCCATTCGAGTATTTTGAACATAGGCACGACATGATTTCCCTCATATTTTAACAGGAAAACTCTTGCAACTCTGAAGGCTTGTCTGTTTGGACTTCAAAGAAGAACAGGTAGGTCTTCTATGTCAAGGAAACAGAGTAGAGACATAGAAATAAATTTTCACATAGAAACTTGAATCATAACAGAGATGACATATCTGGTGAATGAGGAAAAAACATTTGAATCAACAAATGTTTCAGGGTTAATGTGTTTTCTGTTTGCCAATAAGTAAATTTTAATCTGGTTATTACATATTACCCTCAAATTTCAAATGGAAAATAATTAATACTTAAATTTAGAAAATATCATTTGTAAGAAAATATATTCTCCCCTGTAGAAATGGGGGGAAAAGTTTACTTAAAAGCAGAAATCCAGAGATATTGAAAAATTTGATAAATGTGATTTTATAAAGATATGAATTTTTCTAATTTCAAAAATCATTGTATACAAAATGGAATAAAATAAGTTTAGGGCAAACTTTGATAGTTAAAATGAATCAATAAAATATATATAAAATGAGAATAAAACAAACAGTTCTTAGAGAACTTGGGAAAAATATTAACAAACATATCACAAAATTGGAGATCCTATGGTCAATCAACATGCTTTATTTTAATCTGCTTCCCATATTTTTTTTCTTTTCCATAACATATGTTCTCTCCCAAAATTCTCTATAATCTCCTTAATTAATAAGGGTTTTTTGCCCTTGTCAGAATATAAGCTCTATAATGTATGGTTTTCCTTCCTTTTTTTTTTTCATTTATATATCTCAAAGAATTAAAATAGTATCTGGCATATAGTAGGTGCTTAGGAATTATTTCTTGACTTTGTTTCTCACCAGTAAACAATGAAGTGGAAACTAAAATGATAAAGAATTTCATATGCATCAGATCAGCAATTTGTATGAAGTTTGAAAATATGTGTTGTTAACGAGATAAATAAGTGGGAGATCCTATACCCTGTTGGTGGGAATTCAGTTGGAGATAAGGTTGCCATTATCTAGTGGGTTTGAAGATGGCATATTTAGAGGTTTGTCCTTTTTTACTTTATAGGAAGACAATTCTGTATTGATCTCTCATGTTTCTGCACGTTTTGCAAGCAAGGCACTAAATCATTTTGGTTGTGTGTTACATTCCTTTGAAGGAGGTGTGAATACCAAATATGTTTGTAAGATGGGATAGTATTTCTCTGTGTAGCAATGGTCAGGGATGCTTAACTGAAATCTAATAAATATTAATGTCTCCTTCCAGAGAAAAACATTTAAAAAGGAATATTTACTACTCATTATAAATATTAGGTTAATTAAAATGGTTTCCTTTCCTCTAATGTAGTCTACTGTATACCCTGTTGTATGTGGGTCTCAGGAATGTAGAGTTAAATTGCTGATCCTCTTTTTTTTGGTATATATTTTTTATTGGAGTTCGATATGCCAACAATAGCATAAACACCGAGTGCTCATCCCGTCAGGAGCCCCCCTCAGTGCCCATCACCCACTCACCCCAACCCCCCGCCCAGCTCCCTTTCCACCACCCCTTGTTCGTTTCCCAGAGTTAGGAGTCTCTCATGTTCTGTCATCCTCTCTGATATTTCCCACTCATTTTCTCTCCTTTCCCCTTTATTCCTTTTCACTATTTTTTATATTCCCCAAATGAATGAGACCATATAAGGTTTGTCCTTCTCCGATTGACTTACTTCACTCAGCATAATATCCTCCAGTTCCATCCACGTCGAAGCAAATGGTGGGTATTTGTCGTTTCTAATGGCTGAGTAATATTCCATTGTATACATAAACCACATCTCCTTTATCCATTCATCTTTCGATGGACACCGAGGCTCCTTCCACAGTTTGGCTAGTGTGGACATTGCTGCTATAAACATCGGGGTGCAGGTGTCCCGGCGTTTCATTGCATCTGTATCTTTGGGGTAAATCCCCAGCAGTGCAATTGCTGGGTCGTAGGGCAGATCTACTTTTAACTCTTTGAGGAACCTCCACACAGTTTTCTGGATACATTTTGAAGCATAACCTGTATAATTTTTTTCTTAGAGAAGATACCTGTTTGAAGAGAAATAGAGGTGGGGTCCATGACAACACAAGATTACATATTTTCTGATACCCT